ACACACACACACACACACACACACACACACACACACGTCCCCAGTTCCTCTGACCCGAGAGCCCCTAGTCCTCTGTCCAGCAACAGTGTGCGGCCCCGGGCAATTTCCCTTGAAAGGCTTCTTCCTGCAGCCCTCCAGGCCACCAGTCCCCTCAATCCCCTGTCCAGGAAGTGACTCCCCCTCTGACACCTGATTTCACTTCAGACTCTTGCCCAGCCGAGCCATCTACAAAGCAACTCGGAGCGTCCGCCCTCCCCGCCCCGCTTCATCCTCTCTGTCCCCCCCTTCCTCCCAATATTTGTTCTTTTTTCTTAATCTTTCAGAGCACTGTGCCCTTCCTTCTCAAGTTTTAGTCAGTCAGGTTCTTGGGTGAATGGTCTGATCTGCAGACCCTCAGGAAGATGCCCCCTTCAGGAGCAATGCCTCAGTGGCTAGTGTGGCTCTTGTCCCTGAGGCCAATATACAGAATGGGTGAGAGAGGCAGGGGGTTCATGCTTGATGAAGAGAGTCCCACGTCCCTGGGGTTGGCCGTATTCTTTGTGACCTGAGTGTCTCTGGAAGGGTCTTGGTGCATCTCAGACAGAGGCCCCTCGAAGTCAGCGTTGCTCAGCCTTAGCTTTGGGGGTATTCCTAAATTTTAGACTCTCTGAATCAAAGAGTTTTAGATATATTAGGGTTCTGTAAAAATATTTGGTCCAACCCCTTCTTGTACAGGTGCAGCTGAGGTCCAAGGTGGATTAACTACCCTCCCAAGGCCATACTGCCAGTCATCAGTAGAAAACACAGTGGTGGTTAGGTTAAGGGGCGATAGGATCTCTGAAGTGTCTTCGGTTCCCGTGAGACCATGAGTGCATGTCTTCTAACTCCCAGCCCTCTGGGATGGACGTAGATGTCTGTCACCTAGTAATTCAAGGACAAGGATGTGGGAAGTGCTTTGTAACTGGTAAAGCTCCATATAAATGTTAGTCGATGATAGAGAGGCCAGTGCATATTCTCCGGGAAGATCCTTCAAGGTGGTCAGAACTCTGTCCCACTGTTTTTCTGTTTCTAGAATCTCTCTGTGATCTGGGGGAAGAGCTGTGCCTGCCTCTTGCGTGTTTCCTGAGTTAGTTAGACTTACTTGCAGAAGTTTGGGGCTATCACGGGATGTCTGACTTGCTTGCTTTCCTATTTCAGTGACTCCCTGACATCTTAAAAGCCTCTGTGAGATGACGACGGAGAGAGGAGTGCGGTTGAAGCCTGTGCAGACCAGAATGCAAGAGCGAGGAGAGGCCAGGAAGGGAGCCTGGCCTTTCAGATGGTGGTGGGGCCAGGTTGGCATGAGTTGAGTCGTACAGAGAGAAAGAAAGAGTGGCTGTGTTTTCAGAGAGAATGGGGCTTCAGAGGGAAGGATCAGGCTCTCCTGGTTAAAGGGTCTTGATGGCTAAAGAGTATTATCTTTGCGGCTAGGAGAAGCCTTAGAGATCATCTGGCTGGGCTTAAGAGAGGACAGGTTAGTGTCGCAGGAGTGACAGGGGACGGGCGCGGGATGGGGACGGCAGGATAGGGGATTAGTTCCCAAGCGCCTCCAACTAATCGTCTTTTCCATCTGGTTCTCCACCGCGATCCCCGATCCCCGTCTGCCTGTCCTCACTTAATTCTCTAACGGCTGTTGGTCTGGCCCCACCCTCTACCCTAACCGCGTGGGATAAAGACCAAGGGTAGGAAGAGAGCCGTTTTGGAGACGGCATGAAGAGGTAGCGAATGAGAATGCAACCCTCTTTTCCTACTGGCTCCTTTCCCCTTTTCTGCATCATCGGTATCAGTGTGGCAGCACTTTAGGCCCTGGGAATACGAAGCAGTCATTGGCTTTTGGAATCGTAGAATGCAAGCGTGTGAGAGTTGTAAGCGACCTTCCAGATTACCTACTTCATGCCCCTTGGTGAACGGATGAGGAAGGGAAGGCCCGGAGAAGTTTAGGGACTTCCTGCATTCACACAGCTGTGCAGAAAAGGGGCTACCCATGTTGGACCGAGGAGGCAGACAGGGCCCTCGGGGGCCGGAGGAACGAGGAGACTCATGGTCAGTCCTTCCGAGCCGTATACGAATTGAGGAGTTGTTCAGTCCCGTGCGTCTGAGCGGAAGGGTAGTTTCTCCCGCAGATGTGGATGTCTCCGTTGGGAACCACGCCTTGCCTGCAATCATTTTAATGTCCTTTGTGCAAAGCACAGCCCCGCAGCTCACAGGCTCCCCTTCACTAGGAGCAGAGTTTCACAGAGCAAGACTGACCTACCAGGACAATCCCCGTCACGGAAAGAGGTAAAGTCGAAGTATCCATGCTGGACTGTGATCGTACGGTGACTTTCCACTCGGAGACGCGGTGACACACAACGTGCACTTCTAAGAGACTTGCGCAAAGTGTGGAGTGGGTTGTCTGTGGGACTGAAGAGCTGGTCGCTACAGCGGACGCCGGAGGGGAAGCAGGGAAGGAGGGTGGAGCGAAGGCGGGTTCTGGCTCCTCGATGCCCCCGTCCACTCAGCAACGGCCTGGGGAGCTGGGGGTGTGGAATGTGAGGCTGGACCCGTGCTGGGCTGGCCGCAGCTGCGTGGGCCCCAGACATTCCTTTCCCCACGCTGCTTGTGCTCGTGCTCCTGCTATGGGATGGGAGGGGGCCTCAGCCGAGTGGGGTGGATACTAGGTACTCACCAAGAGGGGGCGACCGCACCTGTGGGAAGCCCCTCGGAAGACCGGGCTCGGTTCTGCTCTGCGAATCCTTCTTGTCGCTATGGCTTTTCCTTTTTCCGTACACTCCACGTGGGTTTCCGCGTTGCTTTTCCTCTTAATTTTCCACCCAGCTAAACCAGTGCTCCTCATACTGTTTTCTGCTTCCATTATCCAGTTTTAATCAACCCCATCCTCAGTAATAACCTTGGTGTACGTTTTCATTCTAACCTTAATTGAGTTCTAATTTCAATCCTAACCCTAATCTATTACAGACTCTAACTATTAATCCTAACACCAACCCCAAGTTAATTGTCAATTTGAAGCAGCATCTTTATTCTAACCTGTTAAGAGCCCAGCAGTGAGGACAGCAACACGCACATAATAGTAATGATCACAGGGGCTGTTCGAGAAAGAACCCTTCATTTGCCACAGTTTGCACTGGGTCCTTTACACGCCCAGTAGCTGATCGAGGTTCTGGAAATACCCTCGTGTGGTTGGAATTATCAGCTGCCTCACACACATGAGGAAACAAAGGTGTAACGAGATTATGTCATTTGTTAACAATGGGTCCAAATCCGCCGTTTAAGGTCCTCTTGCCCTTAAAACCTGCGCTTATTCCCCTTTCTGCCCACGAATGCGTTCTGATCATCCCTTTCCTAAAATCCCGACTAAACAATCAGACTCGAATCACTTCCTTTTTAAGACGTTTTTAAAATGTTTATCTTTGAGAGAGACGGAGTGCCAGTGGGGAGGGGCAGAGAGAGGGAGACACGGAATCTGAGGCAGGCTCCGGGCTCGAGCTGTCAGCACAGAGCCCCGTGCGGGGCTCAAACCCACGAACTGTGAGATCACGACCTGAGCCGAAGTCGGACACTTAACTGACTGAGCCACCTGGGCGCCTCTCAAATGACTTCTAAAATACTGCGTTTCTTGGATTATTAGTTGAGGTGGTTGGTTTTTTTTGTTTTGTTTTGTTTTTTGTATTTAGTGACATAAAATGGAAACCAAATAAAGCAAAAAAAGTCCAAATCTCCCTGCCCAGAAACCCCACCAACACTTAAAACATCAGTGTATTTATAAAGTTAAAATAATCAAACTATAGAAAGAAACAAACTGAAAAGAAAAGCCTCCTTTTCCTTCCCAGACTTGCTGAATTCCACCCCACCCCCCAACCTCAGGC